TTTGAAATTTGGTTTGTTTGTTTATTTACGTCCTGTTAACAGCTATGGTCATTTAAGAACTTGCCAGGTTTTGGTGCTGGAAGAAAGCCGGAGTTCCAGGAGAAAAAACAACGACCGACGGCCAGTATCTGGCGACTGCCCCACGTAGGTCTCGAACCAGCGAACCAACGGTGGAGGGCTAGTGGTAGCAGAATGTCAGACGCATTAACCACTTGGCCACCGCGGCCCCTGAAAATATTGGCCTTCATGATCCCTGAAACCTGTTACAATGCATTTGAGATTTTTTCCGATATGACTATTAGTAATTCTTTGATAAATCATTTCTGAAAAAGGCACACCTTGCGGAACCTATGACAAAAATAGTGTTCTGAGCTCTGGTCAATGTTAGTTACATAACGTTGTCCAGACAACGTTCAAGCTAGATATCGTACACTGCATAATTTCCTAAAAAGCACAACTTAATGTATCGGTACAGCGAGAGAGTTGTCAGTATGTCATTACCTATTGCATCTAACAACCATCAGTGATGCATGTTACATGCATATATGATCACAATTCTAGATGGATTATATATTTATTTTGAAATTGCCAACATTCTTAAATACACTGCATACGTGTGATTCGAGTTGTTTTACGAGCTGTTTTTCAGTTTCCAAGATATGTACAGTATAAATCATAGCTCTCTACGATGCAGTTGTCAGTTTGTTATTTCACAGTAAAATATGAAACAATAAGATTTCTTTCAAACGGCGATGAAAAATGTATTCTACTTAAGTTTATATAGATATCACTACTGGCCGCAGAGCATGTAGGTCTTGAAACTCAGCAGTTGTGTTGGTTTGTGGTATTTTTAATAAACTGTGTGTCATGTCTGACGGGAAACACATTTCCGCACGCGATATCAGATAAGTCGTACTAAAGTATGTAGATTTTGAAGATCAAATCTGCTACGAACTCGGAATACCTCGGCCGATTCATTCGAAATGTACTGTAATCGGGACGAGGTGTTCCGAACGATCCGTTCCCATCTCATGTCGAGGATCTGTATCCGGCTAGAAGGGAATGCTTCCTTATTGTACAAATTCATTTTCATTCGTCATTAATGCAGTGTTCTTCAGTCCCGGGTTCATATGAATCGGACATGTACCTACCGTTAAAATAAAGAGGGGGTTTCATGGAAGTAAACTTGACACATTTATTAGTAGGTTTAGGAGGAACACGTGCAATCTCGTACAGGTGTAACCTTTGGCAAACTTCCCATTTAGGTTTACTCACTGTACCTGTTAAGGTCAAGCAAAAATATGGGTTGTAGCGTGCAGAATTGAAGTTTTGAACATACACTATTTGTGAGTGCGAAACCATTGTATATAAATATCAATGTATATGTAAACCGGTCACTTTAATTTCTCATTGTCGTTCAGGTAGTTGTGTCCCCTTCAGAGACTCGAGGTTATAGGTTATGCCTGCTGAATCAACACCGATGTGCAGATTCCGCAATTAACATTAGTGGGAAGATATGTACGAAATACTCATGGTTTCAAGACAGGTTGTGTTGTGGCAAATTGAATATCTTATAGGCCTAGCGGTAGAACATACCATGTCGGTCACCATGGTTACATGTCTCTAACCTTGCTACAGCAATAAACGCCCAAGGGTAGAATCAAATTTCATTTCAAAATGGTAACTTGGTTCTAAGTTTTACATACTGGTTATCCAAAGAGCAATTGTATCTGTGAGTATATTTTTTCAAATGCTACTGAATTCTAGGGGCGGCGCTAACTTACGCTCTCTACTCGGCAGAGAACTTAATTAGGCGTAGCTCCTTGAGATGAGGCTGCAGTCACATGAAGTTGTATGTCAGTTGTAATTCAGACATCATAGTTCTGTAAAGTTGTAATACAGACAACCTGGGTATTTTAATCTGTAGTACATGTATATTTAGCTGACTAAGGTTGTCATGCAAATAACATTTGGCTTAAAATAAATATTTTGTGTTAATGATTAATATATTATGACGAGAAACAAGGTAGTTGCACAATAGAAGGATTCGAAAGCAACTATTGAAGAAGGCCTTCAAATGTATAACACATTATAATGCCAGTGTGACCTGTTGTCGTAATAAAGTTACCTGGCGTCGTAATATAGACGTACCGGTTACCTGGCGTCGTAATATAGACGTACCGGTTACCTGGCGTCGTAATATAGACGTACCGGTTACCTGGCGTCGTAATATAGACGTACCGGTTACCTGGCGTCGTAATATAGACGTACCGGTTACCTGGCGTCGTAATATAGACGTACCGGTTACCTGGCGTCGTAATATAGACGTACCGGTTACCTGGCGTCGTAATATAGACGTACCGGCTACCTGGCGTCGTAATATAGACGTACCGGTTACCTGGCGTCGTAATATAGACGTACCGGCTACATAGACGACTGGTTACCTAGCGTCGTAAAATAAACATCATGGGTAAATGTCGTCGTAATATAGACGTAACGGTTACCTGTCGTCGTAATATAGACGTAACGGTTACCTGTCGTCGTAATACTAAGGTCATGATTACCTGTAGTCGTTATAAAGACAGCATGGTTGCTTTGCGTCGTAACATAGATGTCATGGTGACCCGGAGTTGTTATATATACATCATGGTTGCCTGGCGTCGTAATATAGACGTCTTGGTTGCTTGGCCCTATGATGTAGACGTCAGCGTTGCTTGGCATCGTGATGTAGACGTCATGGTTGCTTGGCATCGTGATGTAGACGTCATGGATGCAGGGCATCTTGATGTTGGCGTCAGCGTTGGTTGGAGTCGTGATGTAGACGTCATGGTTGCCTGGCATCGTGATGTTGACGTCAGCGTTGGTTGGAATCATTATGTGGGCGCCATGGTTGCTTGAAATCGTTATGTAGACGTCATGCATGGTTGCCTGGCATCGTGATGTAGACGTTATTGTTATCCGAAGTTATATATACGTCATGGCTGCCTGACGTCGTAATATAGACGTCATGGTTGTTTGGCATCGTGATGTAGACGTCATGGTTGCTTGGCATCGTGATGCTGACGTCATTGTTACCTGGCGTCTAAATTAAGACACCACGGTTGCCTGACTTATGGACGTCATTGTTACCTGTCACAGTAATAAAGACTTCATTGTTATCGGTTATCGTTTTATAGACTCATGGTGACCTGTTGTCGTAGAATAGATGTTATGGTCGTGGTATGGATGTAATGGTTTTAAAACATGCGTCGTGGTATAGATGTTATGGTTAACTTGTGTCGTAGAATAGATGTTATGGTTACATGTACTATGCTTCGTAGAAAAACGTCTTGGTAACATGATATGCACAGTAGCGCCTAGTTATATTCTGGTATGGTTACCGCAGACTATACAACATTGTGCAATGTAGCATGGTTTCCCGATGTCATAGTGAAGACGACATGGTTTCCAGAAGTCGTAGTGAAGGTATCATGGTTTCAAGAGGTCATAGTTAAGACGTCATCAAGGATTCTCGAGGACGTAGTTATGACGTCATGTTACCCGAGGTCTTAGTTAAGACGTCATGGTTTCCCGAGGTCTTAGTTAAGACGTCATGGTTACCCGAAGTCACAGAAAAAAGACATTATGGTTTCCCGAGGTCGTATTGAAGACGTCATGGTTACCCGAGGTCTTAGTTAAGACATCATGGTTTCCCGAGGTCGCAGTTAAGACATCTTTGTTTCCCGATGTCGTATTGTAGACGTCATGGTTACCTGAAGGACGTAGTAAAGACATCATGGTTTCCCGAGGTCTTAGTTAAGACGTCATGGTTTCCCAAGGTCTTAGTTAAGACGTCATGGTTACCCGGGGTCTTAGTTAAGACGTCATGGTTTCCCGAGGTCTTAGTTAAGACGTCATGGTTTCCCAAGGTCTTAGTGAAGACGTCATGGTTACCCGAGGTCTTAGTTAGGACGTCATGGTTCCCGAGGTCTTAGTTAAGACGTCATGGTTACCCGAAGTCGCAGTAAAGACGACGTTGTTACCCGAGGTCACAATGAAGACATCATTGTTATCCCTGGTCGTAGTAAAGACGACATGGTTACCAGAGATCTAAGTTAAAACGCCATGGTTACCCGAGGTCTAAGTTTAGATGTCATCGTTACCCGAGGGCGTACTGAAAACGTCATGGTTACCCAAGGGCTGAGTTGATACGTCATTGTTACCTGATGTTGTAGTGTAAATGGTATGGCTACCTTATGTCGTAGTGTATACATTATGCTTACCATAATTTTGTCGTAGTGTAAACACTATGTTTACATAACGTCGTCGTTCAAATGTCATGGTTACCTGATATCGTCGTGTAAACGTCATAGTTACCTGAGATCGTCGTGTTAACGTCATAGTTACCCGAGATCGTCGTGTTAACGTCATAGTTACCCGAGATCGTCGTGTTAACGTCATAGTTACCCGAGATCGTCGTGTAAACGTCAAATTATCTACCTGAAGTCGTAGTGTAAATGTCATGGTTACCTTACACCGCAGTGTGACCGTTATATGGTCACCGTAATTATGATTGTACGAGGTGTAAAAATCGATTCCTTCAGAGCTAGTCTATCGTTCCCATAGCGGCATACACACATTACTCAATTCATCACCATAGCACTGCACGCACGACCAGGAGGAGTCGTATTAATGTATTAAAGTCCTGTTAATTCGATGGCTTATTGCTGCCTCGTAGTGACTCTCTTAAAACCAAAATCACAGCATGACTTACAAAAACGAGTGTTTTTTAGTTATATTTTAGGTCAACAGGAGGTCCTCTCATCTACACATTCGCCGATATGTTTGTTAACGAACCTCTAAACTCCTATATGATGTCCGTAACCCCCCTCCCCCCACCCCTAAATAATATTATTCTCTGTGAATTTCCACAACATTAAACAAGCCGTAGCTATAAAACTGAGAAACCTAAATGCTCCTTCGACGGGCCCCATAGGAAAAAATCGCTACTGCTACACAGCCACACGCCTGCGTCTCGATCCGACACAACTGCGTATTCGCCTCGTGGTCTATCACAGAGTGGATCGTTTCTTTCACTGCACTACAAGGTAAAAATATATTTTTCTTCCTGTTGAAAATAATTTGACTCGTTGGAACTTATTTTTTTACAGATGTATGTACGTTTATATCTTGTAATATTTATATATGAGACTAGAATGAGCTTTAGGATATCTGAATGGCTCCCAATTGATTTGCGTGTATTGTAGTCACTAGACTGTCGGTTTTTCTATTGAAAATGTTGTGAACTCGATAATTCTACAAAATGGGTCGGTAACGGCGAGGGGAGATCTGATAAAATAAACTCAAATCATTATCTATCGATCAAATATTGTCCATCCACAAATACATATATATACATGTATATCGGTTATCGAAAGGTATATTTTATGTAGTGGGTTGGATTTTGTTGGGGTAAATTTTTATTGTGGTACACATGAACACAACTTCCTTTTTGCTATTTTTGGTTTATTTAGCAAACAAACAATATATCGCATTCTGACGATTAATTCCTTGACCTGGAAATTATTTGTGTGTTTGATCGTGTAACGTATTGGAACTTTAGACATTCGGCTAAGAATGTTTTTGTGTTTGACTGGCTATTTAAGAAATGCCTTTCTTAAATAACACCAATACAAAGCCCTGTAGGATTAGGGTTCGGCAGCTTACTTCAGACGGTAGTTGAGTGGAAATGGCTATAGGAAATACTGAGAACATTTGGTAAACGTATAATATTGTAATGCTAGCAACATACTACTACCGTACATGAAGTATACAAATATTATTTGATTAAGTAAATATCTACCCATGTATTTGTAGTTGTGTTACAATAACATATACATTGTATGATATGTGCGGTGGAGCAGTTTCCGTTTAACCGTCTCCATCCCCCCGCCCCACTCCCCCAACACACAAACACTTTGCCCTTTCTTAGACACCTTTCCCCCTCCTCCGCCTCCTCCTCCTCCTCCCTGCCATACTCGTTAATAATTATAACCGTCGCCAACAATCACGGTCACTCCTCGTGCTTCCCTTTACCTTTGAAATTCGTCTCGAGTATCCTTTTCACGTGTACTGTAACCATGGTGACGGAAATGAAGCGTAACATTTATTGACGCTGTATTTAAAAAACCTTAATGTTATCCTTTGTCTACAGCCACGTACACAACAGGGAAAAGGTTATTCTTTGTTTCTCTGTCGACTCGGAACAAAACGCACGTAGAAATCGATTTTAAATTTGCAATGTGTCTGCGCGTGTCGGTGTTGTTCGTTATTATAATGTAAATGGAATTTTGCAATCCGCAGTAACAGTGTCCTAGGGTCATGTAAGTTCCGTTTAAATACCATGTAACGGTCATAAATTTATAAATCCACCTCTATTACCCGGAGTCGCTTTACAGTCCATATTGTCGCATAGATGAAAATACACAGATTATTTGATGGTTTTTTTTGTCTGCTTATGTCATCGAGTGCTGCAAATACGTATCGTGTATAGATTGTCAGGGTTATGTGTGTATTGTTGGTGTCGTGTATAGATAGTCAGTGTTATGTGTGTATTGTTGGTATCGTGTATAGATTGTCAGGGTTATGGGTGTAATGTTGATGTCGTGTATAGATTGTCAGGGGTATGGGTGTAATGTTGGTGTCGTGTATAGATTGTCAGGGTTATGGGTGTAATGTTGGTGTCGTGTATAGATTGTCAGGGGTATGGGTGTAATGTTGGTGTCGTGTATAGATTGTCAGGGGTATGGGTGTAATGTTGGTGTCGTGTATAGATTGTCAGGGTTATGTGTGTATTGTTGGTATCGTGTATAGATTGTCAGGGTTATATGTGTAATGTTAGTATCTTGTATAGATCGTCAGGGTTATATGTGTAATGTTGATGTCGTGTATAGATTGTCAGGGGTATGGGTGTAATGTTGGTGTCGTGTATAGATTGTCAGGGTTATGTGTGTTTGTTAGTATCTTGTATAGATCGTCAGGATTATGTGTGTAATGTTGGTGTCGTGTATAGATCGTCAGGGTTATGTGTGTAATGTTGGTGTCGTGTATAGATTGTCAGGGGTATGTGTGTATTGTTGGTATCGTGTATAGATTGTGAGGGTTATGTGTGTAATGTTGATGTCGTGTATTGATTGTCAGGGTTATATGTGTAATGTTAGTATCTTGTATAGATCGTCAGGGTTATATGTGTAATGTTGATGTCGTGTATAGATTGTCAGGGTTATATGTGTAATGTTAGTATCTTGTATAGATCGTCAGGGTTATATGTGTAATGTTGATGTCGTGTATAGATTGTCAGGGTTATGGGTGTAATGTTGATGTCGTGTATAGATTGTCAGGGTTATGGGTGTAATTTTGATGTCGTGTATAGATTGTCAGGGTTATGTGTGGAATGTTGGTGTCTTGTTTAGATCGTCAGGGTTATGTGTGTAATGTTGATGTCGTGTATAGATTGTCAGGGGTAAATGTGTAATGTTGGTGTCGTGTATAGATTGTCAGTGTTATGTGTGTAGTGTTTGTGTCGTGTATAGATTGTCAGTGTTATGTGTGAACTGGTGGTGTTGTGTATAGATTGTCAGGGGTATGTGTGTATTGTTAGTATCTTGTATAGATTGTCAGCGTTATGTTTGTATTGTTAGTATCTTGTTCAGATTGTCAGGGTTATGTGTGTAATGTTGGTGTCGTGTAGATTGTCAGAGTTATGTGTGTTTGTTAGTATCGTGTATAGATTGTCAGGGTTATGTGTGTATTCTTGGTATCGTGTATAGATTGTCAGGGTTATGTGTGGAATGTTGGTGTCTTGTTTAGATCGTCAGGGTTATGTGTGTAATGTTGATGTCGTGTATAGATTGTCAGGGTTAAATGTGTAATGTTGGTGTCGTGTATAGATTGTCAGTGTTATGTGTGTATTGTTGGTATCGTGTATAGATTGTCAGGGGTATGTGTGTAATGTTGATGTCGTGTATAGATTGTCAGAGTTATGTGTGTTTGTTAGTATCGTGTATAGATTGTCAGGGTTATGTGTGTAATGTTCGTATCGTATATAGATCGTCAGGGATATGTGTGCAATGTTAGTATCGTGTATAGATTGTCAGTGTTATGTGTGTATTGTTGGTGTCGTGTATAGATTTTCAGGGTTATGTGTGTATTGTTAGTGTCGTGTATAGATTATCAGGGTTATGTGTGTATTGTTGGTGTCGTGTATAGATTGTCAGGGTTATGGGTGTAATGTTGGTGTCGTGTATAGATTGTCAGGGTTAAATGTGTAATGTTGGTGTCGTGTATAGATTGTCAGTGTTATGTGTGTATTGTTGGTGTCGTGTATAGATTGCCAGGGTTATGTGTGTAATGTTTGTGTCGTGTATAGATTGTCAGTATTATGTGTGTAATTTTGGTGTCGTGTATAGATTGTCAGGGTTATGTGTGTAATGTTGATGTCGTGTATAGATTGTCAGAGTTATGTGTGTATTGTTGGTATCGTGTATAGATTGTCAGGGTTATGTGTGTATTGTTAGTATCTTGTATAGATTGTCAGGGTTATGTGTGTAATGTTGGTATCGTATATAGATCGTCAGGGATATGTGTGCAATGTTAGTATCGTGTATAGATTGTCAGGGTTATGTGTGTAATGTTGGTATCGTATATAGATCGTCAGGGTTATGTGTGCAATGTTAGTATCGTGTATAGATTGTCAGTGTTATGTGTGTATTGTTAGTATCTTGTATAGATCGTCAGGGTTATGTGTGTAATGCTGGTGTCGTGTATAGATTGTCAGGGTTATGGGTGTATTGTTAGTATCTTGTATAGATTGTCAGGGTTATGGGTGTATTGTTGGTATCTTGTATAGATTGTCGGGGTTATGGGTGTATTGTTAGTATCTTGTATAGATCGTCAGGGTTATGTGTGTACTGTTGGTATCGTGTATAGATTGTCAGGGTTATGGGTGTATTGTTAGTATCTTGTATAGATTGTCAGGGTTATGTGTGTAATGTTGGTATCGTGTATAGACTGTCAGGGTTATGGGTGTATTGTTGGTATCGTGTATAGATTGTCAGGGTTATGTGTGTAATGTTGATGTCTAGTATAGATCGTCAGGGTTATGTGTGTATTGTTGGTGTCGTATATAGATTGTCAGGGTTATGTGTGTAGTGTTGATGTCGTGTATAGATTGTCAGGGTTATATGTGTAATGTTGGTGTCGTGTATAGATTGTTAGGGTTATGTGTGTATTGTTGGTATCGTGTATAGATTGTCAGGGTTATGTGTGTAATGTTGGTGTCGTGTATAGATTGTCAGGGTTATGTGTGTATTGTTGGTGTCGTGTATAGATTGTCAGGGTTATATGTGTAATGTTGGTGTCGTGTATAGATTGTCAGGGTTATGTGTGTACTGTTGGTATCGTGTATAGATTGTCAGGGTTATATGTGTAATGTTGGTGTCGTGTATAGATTGTCAGGGTTATGTGTGTTTGTTAGTATCTTGTATAGATTGTCAGGGTTATGGGTATAATGTTGGTATCTTGTATAGATTGTCGGGGTTATGTGTGTAATGTTGGTGTCGTGTATAGATTGTCAGGGTTGTGTGTGTTTGTTAGTATCTTGTATAGATCGTCAGGGTTATGTGTGTACTGTTGGTATCGTGTATAGATTGTCAGGGTTATGTGTGTAATGTTGGTGTCGTTTATAGATTGTCAGGGTTATGTGTGTTTGTTAGTTTCTTGTATAGATCGTCAGGGTTATGTGTGTACTGTTGGTATCGTGTATAGATCGTCAGGGTTATGTGGGTAATGTTGGTATCGTGTATAGATCGTCAGGGTTATGTGTGTACTGTTGGTATCGTGTATAGATTGTCAGGGTTATGGGTGCATTGTTAGTATCCTGTATAGATTGTCAGGGTTATGTGTGTTTGTTAGTCTCTTGTATAGATTGTCAGGGTTATGGGTATAATGTTGGTATCTTGTATAGATTGTCGGGGTTATGTGTGTAATGTTGGTGTCGTGTATAGATCGTCAGGGTTATGTGTGTACTGTGTATTGTTAGTATCTTGTA